TTGATTTCAGCTAAAATCTGAAGGGAGCTTAATAAAATTATCATACAAACTTTAAAAAATTTTGCATTAATCTAATAAGGCCGAAAGGATTGCTTAACTTTACTATGCCATACAAACTTTAATTGTGTAGATATTCATATAAAGTGTTGCATCATCTCACTTAGCCATACTAACTTTTTCAATAGATGATCAGCTTAGTTATCAGCATAGCCTCTTTAATAATCATAATATTCTATATGACTGCACAATATTGTGTCATACTAGTTATACAAGATTTACAAAGTAGCACTACATAAACAAATATATTAAAGTATAAGTAATTGAATACAATGTAGTATTAGAAGAGGAGAAAATTAGTAGCACAAACAACATAATTACTTACATAAACCAACAAAATAATGTCCAAAGTTCAAACTTGTCAAAATTATATAAACTCAAAGCTATCATAGGCCTTGCATAGATTAGAATTTTCTTTAGTTGTATGGCAATTGAATATTAAGGCTTTGTTCTTCAAGTATTTCTTGCTACAAATAATTAATGAAAAAAATATTGATATTTAATTAAAAAAAAGGAATTAGAGAAATATATTTAATGAAATGACTGCTAAAGGTGTCTTTGCATTTCTTGAATGCATCGAATCCAACTTGATTAGAAAATCAATGCATTAACTATTTTAGTAGATAAACTGCTCCAATAATCATCTAAAACTCTGCCGCTAGTACAAAAAATAGATTATGAGGCAACCATGGTTATAGATATTGATAAAATTTCACGAGCAATAGTTGAAGTTGGGGATAATTTATTGTATTCATCTTCCACCATTCAAGCACATCAAAATTTCCACTTGAGCACACAAACAATCCCTCCTTAATGTTTACATGTCAATAAGGCTATAATGGTTCCACAGTTCCAGATGCTACAACAAAAACTTAAAATTCAAACATAGAGTCAAATTGATATAGAGAAATCATAAGATCTACTACAGTTGAATTTCCTTATCATGAAACATTTCTTGTAGGATTGGGAGATGTACAATGAACAACATAATCTATATATATTTCCCACAAGGTATCTTGGACCAATTTAAGATTTTCATCCACCTCATCATTAGAAAATATCTTCAGAAATGTGTAGCTGATAAATTTGAGTTTCAATCTAAGGTCTAAAATTATTGTATTAGATATAATAAGATTGCATTGCTTATAATATTTATTGAATTTGATTTGCTTATTTAAAGTCATATTTCTAATATAACCATCTTCTGACATTGACTCCTCAATTAGAATTATCTAAACATGTATAATTGCAGGTAAAACTACAATTCAAGTGGGATAGATAATATTAGTGGTTATATTCATAGCATGATTTAAAATTGAAAGAAACTCTTATATTTTTTTCATATTTAAACCAATTTAAATTAGTTGAAAAACATTTGTAGTTACTATCTCTAATTGCATAGAGCTGAAAAATGTTGCAATAAATAAATGCAAACACCAACATATTAAATGTTGAGTTCTATCTAATAAGAATATCAATAGATTAATACCTTATTATTGAAACTCCAAATTATTTTGTCACTTCTACAAACTTATGAAACCTCGTAGGGGATTTTTTAAATTATTTGACTGACTCTTCGTTATTTTAAATGTTTTTCTGAATCTTTTCTAGACCATCTTGGACCATTATATTGTGGATATGAGCATAACAACTCACATGAGAAAGAAGATCACAAAAGTGCAACTTGTCTCGTGATTGAAAATTTGCTTTTAAGGAAGTACATGCCATATCATTACTACTTGCATTGTTTAAATTAGTCGTCAATATTTTTTCCTAAAGCTTTCACTCTAACAAACATTTACAAATAGCATCACATATGTATGTGTCTTTATGTAGAGGCCCAAACTCAATAAAATTGATAATCACCTTCTTTAATTTATATGATTCATCAATATAATGGGTCTTGTAGTCTGATTAGAGCTACAACAATCTGCTAATCTTAAAAAGACAAGAATTAAAGTATAATACCACCCTATGATATTCTTTAAGGAAACATTTAAGTTTCTCTGACTTACACACATTAACTTTCACTCAATCAATTTTTATGGTGTTCCTTGAAATACTCTCGATGTTAGGATTCAATATTTTCAATCATATATTGTACCAAACATGTTGAATCAACATGAATATATACTCATGTACAGTTATCAACTTGGCAATTACCTCTCTTATGAGTTGCTGGTCATAATTTTTTAATCATAGAAAATATGAATCCTAGATTCAACATCAACTTTAAAAGGCAAGAAGTTTGGGCTCTACTCTCTTTTATCTGATAAGTAAATTACTTGTTAACATTTTGCTTTTATCCTATAACAATCTTTAATGTGCCTCAGAAGTTGTGAAGATGTGCCTGTTTTAGGTTTATAGATTTTTGCCCGACATCAAATGCATTGGATAAGTGATACATCAACCCCCTTGGAATTCAACTTAACATCTAAAAAATACCCTCAAACAGTTAATTTTCTCTTCCTAAATTTCTTAGCTCGTAAGTCACAACTAGTACCTCTAACAAAAACTTCAATAGATTGAGAAATGTTATGAGAACTATCATTTCCAACTTGTGTAGCAACTGACAATTTTTTGCTAGTGGACGAAGATTGAGATTGTTCAAATGTTGACATTATTAATAACTAAGCAAAAAATAAATAAAATGACACATGAGATGTCATTCATGCATGTGTCTAAGCTACGCATTATAACACATAAACCTATGTAACATTAAGCTTACATATAACTAAATATGCTTTTGTTGTTATCTCAAGAGTCAATAGATGCTAGCTTTATATGCAAAACATTTTAACATTTTAACATTTAAAATGTTGGTAGTGTAAAAGCTTAACATATTTAAAAATGGTAGATTACAAAAGAAACAATTATAGAAAGGGCAAATTCTCAACTACTTCTCTTTCAGGGAAAAAAATTGGAAGCAGAGAATCCCTATAAAGTATTTACAAAAATTGCTTCACTGTGTCTATAAAAAGCAATGCTCAGCAGAATATTCTATCAAACCAACCTTTATTCCTTCAGTAAAGATTAATGATTTTCTTGATTACTAACAATATTATAGAATAAATTATACACTTATTACCGTATATCAATCACTTCAAAGTTCTATCTTTCAGTTGAGCTACTATAAGCATAATCCTATAAGCAAGAAAATCCTATGATGTTTTCATTGGTACTTGATATTTTTTTAAAAAAAATTTAAGACAAATAATGATGATAATAATAACTTCTGTAGAGATAGAATAAACATGTAAAACCTAAAAAAAGTTTAGTAAATCGTTAGCTCCATTCCTTTATCGGAAAAACTCAAAATATGAACTCACAGTTTCATTCAAACAATATATTCCCACGGACCGAACCATTCAATTGTTCCATCAAATGGTTTAAATTTCTTAGTAGGAAATGAATACATGCTTGCTTCAAATGCAAAACATTTTAACACATTTTCGATTAAGATTTAGATAGCATGAAAGTCCTCTTTCATGATGCAGAAGTTGATGGTCATGAAGACATTAATGATATATACAAGCATAAAAATTAACAAACAAGAAATTAAACCATAAGAAAAGCATAACACCAACATTCTCCTTGTTTATTAATTGCTGCTACTGTTATAATAAATAATGAAAATAACTGATACAAAAATTTTTGTGCTCCCAGAACAAGAGAGAGCCTAGCAATAACATAATGGGGCATTTACCTACATACACTGAATTCTAATATATTTAACTATCTAACTCCGAAACATTGCTTTTACTTTTATACCACCCAAATCTTCTTTATGCCAGCAACTGATAAAATTACCACTGGTTTAACTTTTAAAAAAGAGAGATATCGTTTCATATTTGGTAAGTCAACTTAAATGTAACATGTAGTCTTAAGTCTTTGATATTAAATAAATAAAAGAAATGAGCAGTAAGTATGTAAGGAAATAAGGGCTTTCACGACCATTCCTAAGGCTATAGCCTATAGCAACATCTTAAAGACTGCAAATCAACGCCAAGAACATTGTATTTTTGTGAATGTTTTGTCGAGCACTCGGCTCAATCTTACCGTGTTGAATTTTTGTGTTTGATGTATACACCACCCTTGTCAAATGAGCTAAAAAATAAATATCGAGAAAATAAACAAAAAATTAGCATCGATTACCGTGATCCAATATGGACAAGTTTCATATGATAATTCTAACGATTATCAATTTATTTACTCGGAGCTTAACTAACTAGTACTATTGAGCAAAGTTGGGATTCTTGATGTTTTTAGTTTGTTACTAATTTAGTGTTGGCATTGATAGTTCTAATTTTGATCAGAAAATTTGTTAGGCCTCTAGGAAGGCTAATATCATTAGTTGTTGGACTTTTTATTTTACTTATCAAATTCAATATCTTTCTATTCTTCAATTTTCTCTGTTATAAAAATCCATATCCATATAATCTGTAAAGTTGATGTAAATCCTTCAATAAAAACTTTATTGCAACTTTCTGCAAAAGAACAAATAAACGGAGGATTTCCATATCAAATTAGTGGGGAAGCACTAAAGACCGACAAAGACACTTCACCCAAAAGAAATCAAAGCCAATAAGAAACAACCATGTCATGTCAATTATCATGTAGCAATATAAATCAAAATGGCAATAATTTTAGTTAATAATTATTAGGACACATAAAGTCTTGTGAGTGGAAGTCAGATCAAAACCAAACATCAATCAATATCACTGTATTAATAAGGTAAAACAGGTGACATTACAAAGTAACACCAGGTAAACGGATAAAGCATTTTACATATCGCACAACCACAAAGAAATGACTTGTTCAAAACATATTACAACATAATACATATATATATATATATATATATAGGGC